ATTAACAACATAAAAAAGTACGACTTTTCAACTTTATATAAAACTATTCCCCACGATAAATTAAAGTCCAAACTTTCTGACATCGTTGACAGCTGCTTTTTCAATAAAAATGGAACTCTTAAATTTACTTACCTTGTCACTGGTCAATTGCAAAATTACTTTGTTAAAAAACAATCTGATTGTACACACAAGTACTCTGAAGTTGACATTAAAAAGATGCTCGAGTTTCTGATTGACAATAACTAAAATGTGGTTTTTGGAGACCAGGTCTTCCAACAATCTATTAGAATTTCCATGGGTACCAATTGAGCCCCCTTATTAGCAGAGCTATTTTTGTATTCATATGAAGCAGAATTTGTTCAAAATCTTTTACGTGAAAAGAAGAAAACACTTGTTTTGGCCTTCAACTCGAAATTTAGATATATCGACGACGTATTGTCAATTAACAATGGTCATTTCCATTCTTATGTCGACACGATATATCCCGGTGAGCTTGAGATATAAGATACCGCAGAGTCTGACATATCTGTTTCATATTTGGATATTTTATTGGAAAAAAACGTTAATGGTTATCTAACAACACAGCATTATGATAACCGTGATGGCTTTAACTTTTCAATCGTCAACTTTTCTTACTTGTGCAGCAATATACCCTTATCACCTGCATACGAGGTTTATATCTCTAAGTTGATTCGATACACTAGAGCATGAACAATTTCTAAAACGAGATAAATTATTGACAAACAAGTTCATGCAGAAAGAATATCCGCAGTCTCGTTTAAAGTCATCATTTCGTCGATACAATGACCATGTCAGCAAATACAATCTTTCACTTAGCCAAATGCTGACTGACTTTTTTTCATACTAATTGTTAGGCCATTATTTACACACTGAATTGTCGACGGATTTTTCCGTTATTTCCCGATCATGACAAGGAGCACACGGCGAGTGTGACCGGTCGGCAGGGGATGCTCACTCCTCCATGGTACCTGATCCCACCTCTGATATCTTAGAGGTACGTGTTTGCTCTGCTCCTATTTTGTAATGTTTAATGGAGTTTTGAGCTCGAATACTGTTCATTATCTCCACATATTTCATTTAGAGTTAGAACACATATACCACTCTGTGTGGTTTATCTTACAGAATTTAAAAAGAAATAACAATCTTTTTGAAATTTAAGCCCATGTGTTTGACATGTTCCGTAAGAAATGTATATGCTCTCCTCTGAAAAAAAAAATTCATATGAATACGTTTGATAATTGTTTGCATTGGTCTTTTTTGTTAGCAGACCGTTTTACTATCTTAAAAACAACATTAAATATCATATCAAAAATCAATTACTTATATTACTATCATAGTTAACCGTAATCAACAATCCCTCACTTCTCAATGGCCTTAAGTGCTATATATAGGTCAAAATTTGCAGCTCTCCACCGACAAGTGGTGGCGTCTTCATATGAGTGAAAAACTCGAGAGAGGGACGTTAAACAAAAAAAAAATCTTAGTTGAAATAAAAAAATAGAAAGATCCTTGGCATCTGCAAATATGATACAGATGATAACATCTGTATCATACTTGAAGAACTTATATCTTTTGTTGGTTGGTAAAGGTTGCTATAGTTTTAATATCGAAAAACGATATCAAATACGAGCTTTCTGCGTTAGACCATAAGGATTTTTCTGTTTGTGACGTTCTAACGCTTTCTATGTCGAGATGTTTAAATACTAAGTCATATTGTTACCATATCGAAGGAAGTAACCGAGTTCGCGTCTCTCCCACGGTCCCACTGAAGTCGGTGAAGTTCAATATACAGCAAGTCTAGTAAGTTCCCAAAAGGAGACAGACAGTTCAACCGTCTTTTTTAACGAATATTTCATGCATAATATATGGACACTTAACATGTATAAACATTCTTGTAAAATCCATTACAAATTTCAGCCGGTTTAGGTGATTATTGGATTCAATGGCAAATTTGACTATTTTTGTTAATGCATATAAAAAGTAGTGCATAATGAATTGATTAATGTTTAATGTTGATGTAACATTAAAATATATGAATACAAAATATATACAAAATATTTGAGTCAATTTATAGTAAAATCATCTATAATACAAAGCAACAAATTAGAATCCATTTAACGAGGTCCAATCTAGTTAAATATTACGAAAACGGACCGGTAAATATTTCTTTTAGATATATGATTGTATAAACCATGCTAAGAAAAATTAGATTGAAATATTGTTACCTTGACCTGATTGTAGTGGAATGGGGACAATTTCAAAATATGGACCATATTTCATGGTTTTATCCACAATTATATGCTAAACTACCTTAATATCAATGGGATTGACAATTAAAATATGAATAGTGAAATCTTTTGCAATTTACATATATTATGTAATATCCGTTCCACATTTAAAAAAGGAAAAGAAAATTGGGGATAGTCTTTATTGTAGTAAAAAGGGGGCATATCAAAACACAAAAATAGGACATAAAATTATATCTAAGATACTTTATAAGTCGCAGTAAGTTTACATAATATCAACAAATAAATGTTGTATTGTATATGTTTCTTAAAATTAAATACCTCTTATATTAAGAAAGAATTTTCTCTTCATCTCCATTCTTTATTTTATTTAACACAAAACATTTTTTTACGTGGGAAAAAAAGGACAGGGGGTGGGGGTAAAAAGGCAATAAAATTACTTAAGTTTATTGATATGTAGGAAACTAAAATATTTCTTCTTGGTTTCACTGAAATGACTAGTAGAATTTTTTTAAGTCAATCTACTGCATGTATATTTAAGTTATCAACAATACTGGTAAATAAACATTTTCAAGGAGAAAGATAACATGTGTTTACTTTTGGTTGCAGTAGTTTTTCAAACTCAAAAATTAAAATAAGAAGAAACTTATAATTTACATTAGAAATTGAGAATATCTCAAAAATAAATTATGTTACAAAGTTGCTTACATGTATTAATTTAAACATTTATTAAAACACAAGAAAGATAGAAATGCCAGAATCAAAGAGCTTTCAAAATCTACGAGGTGTGCAAGATTAGCGAAATATTTTAGCGCAATTTGACGTAATTTTAACTGTGACGCTATTGTATTCTATTGTGACGGCAATCAAGGGTTTTGTGACGCGTCTGAAACAACGCTGCGTGAAAACGTATGCACAGACCAAGTAGGCTGGTCCTCGTTAAATTGGGATTTTGCATTATATCTTGGGAGAGGCATGCGCAGAAATTGAACAAATAAAAATGTACATGTAACATCTTAAATTCTGGGCCCTGGCGTATCACCCTGGCGTATGCCTCTTTTCGAACCTACATTCTTTCAATGGCAGTCGGTTCCTCTAATTTCTTGGAAGAGCAAATATGAAAACTTGATAACTAAATTTAGTTGCTATTTTGTTTTGAGTTAAAAATGTCTGTCTTTGAGATACCTGAAAAGAGTAAATCAATCGACAACAAAAACGAGTCTGAGTAATGCCTTAGTCTCTTAAGTCCACTTTGTAGCTTTGTATCTGTCCTGAAAATCATGTTTCTAAAAGTTTTAATAACGCTGTTCAGGTTCATGTCCCTTGATAGATTAATATATAAAAACCTATTTTTGAAGACTTTTGTGAGCAGGCAGAAGACAACATTTTACAGACATCTTCCCCTATGCCATTGGATGGCACGACAGCGAACGTGCGTTTCTTAAGTGACTATGGCTATGCTGGTAACGGATTTGTCTTGGCCTTTTACGTTGAGAGTAAGTTGCTTTACGATAAACATTCATTTTTAAAAGATCAATAGAAAACACAGTATTAATTGAACTTCTCTGTTTTTGTTATTTTACGAAATTTCTACTCTATTTATACTGAAACCAGATGTAGTACGTAGCATTTTCGTGGGTGGGGAATAAAACTATTTGTTCGTAAATTTCATTGAAATTAGCTGAGCATGTATCGAAAATATAATTACTAAAATAGAAATAAAATAGAAATTTCATCTTACTCATAGAAAAGTGAGAAATTGTGTCAAATTTCAGAGCATAATAAAGTGTTTACCTTCAGGTTTTAATTATATATATAATTAACGCAAATGTTTTTTAGCGTAAGATTGTATTTGTGTCACAAGAAGCATTGTATTGTCTCAGCCAATCAACAAGAGGAATAATTTTTCTCACATCAGTCACTGAATATATTTATTTGTCAATAGAAAAAGCGACACCATGTTCTTGTCAGCATGGAGGGACTTGCATGAATTTAACATGTGTATGTTCACGTGGTTATAAAGGCAGCAATTGTGAGAACGGTAAATATATCTTAGTTTTCATACCTTTTGTTTTTTTTATCAGTCATGGTTACTACTTCACCTAAGAAAAAAATCGGATGGGGGACGGGGTAGGGAGAATGACACGAATATTTCATTGGTTCAAAACCTGTATCTACAATACCGAGAATACATTGGACAACACATTCTAGAATCACTCAAATGACTGTTAAGGCCCATTCAAGACAGAGGAAAGGCTGACCAAGATATGTACATGTAGACAGTTCTATTCAATTTAGCAAGTGCACATACCTACCTCAAATTTTGTTTTACGTCTTTATGATAGACATTAAACTTTGATGCATTTGTTTTCGAAACATTATTCACTTAATTTTTTGTTTTACAATTTTTCTAAACAATCTACAAGATTTGCAAAGTGTGATGTCATTAGGATCGATGTTCTCTATCTCACACAAAAACAAAAGCACAGAGTAAGAATTACATAAAATGATAATTAGTGTAATTCTGTGTGCAGTTTAAAATTTGTAAATAGACACCTAAGTACATGTATTTAATATGGATGTTATATTACATACTGTGACGTAACATGGAATTACAGTGAAGTTAGTTAACATTAGTTGAAAAGAAAAGAAAATCGGAAATGTAAGTAATGGAAAATATTATTTTCATTAGTTACCTAAAATCCTAAAGATTAATATTTATTTCACCCACAGAATCTTTAGAAATTCTATACTTCAAAAGTAGCAAGACAGTATTCCGTGAAGAAAATGAAGTATTGTTGGAATCGGAGATAACAGACAACTCTAACTTTACCGTCCAATGGTCTCGCAATGGAATTTTGATAAGTGATATTTTTTCGAGGTACATTATCAGTTCTACTGCAATAGCCAATGGTACATTTCTACATCAACTAAGGATATCAAGTGTTTTTGAACTAGATGGAGGTACAGTAACAATAACTCATTGTTGTGTCATGAGAAAAAGAAAATGGAATAAGTTTTTTGAAATAAATGTCAAAGCATTTAAATAAAAACTTGTATTGAATTTATAGGAAATTGGAACATCATTGCTTCCAACGGGGTGACAATGGTTAACAGGAGTATTATCATACGAGGTGAGAATAGAGAAAGTGAAAGGATAGAAAATGTATATTTTGACAAGACCATTTTTTCCTTTATAAATAAAAAAGATACTTCCTTTGACAATTATAAAATATATTTTTGTAACTTATGTGTATTTAATGTCGACATACACTGCTTCCATTTTTTGACATAAATTCACAAGGGTTAAAATGTATTTAACATTTCTGTTAAAGAAGTTAATTATTCCACTTTTAAATCAATAGAATGTTGAATGTAATTTTTTTATGGAGCATGCATACATCGATTACTGTGGAATCATTTTAATTCGTGGTGGTCAATGTTCGTGGACAAGCAACATTTTACTTGTTCGAGGGGACGTAATTTCGTGGGTTACTCGTTTATACGGTAGATTCAATAAATCAATATGTTTACAAAATAAACGTTCGTGGGGATGTAAATTCGTGGGTAAGGGTAACCCACGAAATCCACGAACATTGGTCCCCCACGAACAATGATGATTCCACAGTATTATAAAATCTTTTAAGAGAAAGAACATATTTTTCGAATACTATATGTACGTAATCTATTCTGACTGATGTTGTTTTTTCTGAATGTTAGGCTTCTAGACAATGGGTAAACATAGCTCATAAATCGTTGTACCTGAGCTTATGTGATGAAATGTGAAGACAACGAACGATAATCATGCTCAAAAGTCCAATAAAACAATACAAATTCATCTCAGATGTATCCCTTTTTAAATATTTATTAAAATTTTTATTCCACACATTTTCATCACCTCTCTTGTTAATCTAAGTCAGAAATATAAGCTAGCAATAGTATATAGATCGACTACAGATTTCACCGTTTAACCGATCATGATCGTGACCGATCGAAAGTGGATCCTCCAAATCCCATCACATGGTCACCAAAGACTGCGTAGACATTGGTATCAAAATCAACTTCAGTGTACCTTATGTAGAATAAATGTCTGTTTTAGAGACCTTCTCCTAACGTATCGTGGATTAATATACTTTGCATGTCTTTTTCACTTACCAGTTGGAAATATTCAATGTACTCTTATGGTAATAACTTATACAAATGGTCTTTATTTTCAGTTCTCCCAAAACTTGAGCTGCAGATGATACCTCAGTACGATCTCTCAACTGAAACGAAAGAAAACCTAACCCTTCAATGTGTTGTGGTGAATCCTGAATCCCTGATCAATTTGACAGGTGGAAGTCTTATCTGGGAAAAAGATGGGAAGAAAATTACAGGTTATTTTTTAACCACTTTTTAAAGGACTAATCATGACAAATAGTTTCATAAGTGCACTTGTAAAAGTGAAACTTAAATCAATGATTTTTTTGTCGTAAGTTTTTTTTCATAGTATACATGAACATTTTCTGTGTAATAAATCTTTGAAGGTAAATATGTGTACACTATATTGCATTGATTTTTCATAATAACTTGATTTCTGTAGATTCTTGGTTCAATATAAGTACAACAAATACGTCAACAATTTTAAACAAAGCATCGACAGAGGTCAATGATTCTGGAACTTATTCTTGCTTACATTCTACTTATCCAGACCCATTAAATGTTTCCATTTACGTAAATGTCACAGAGCCAGGTATGTATTTTTTTAAAAATGAAAATATAAAATATAGTAATTCAGCTAAAGAATCCTATTTTACATAATGGCTTTGGAAAAATCCCAAAATATGTCGTTTACATAAATTGTACTACTATACTTCGTTCACCCTTTAATTTCTACCCCCCCCCCCCTTCCTAATTGTAACGTCTTTATCTACTTCTTTAAGTCTTCTTTTTTTATTTTTAGAATATAATATTTAAAATATTTTTAAAGATAAGACTACAAGGAACAACTTTTGGAAATTTTGGATTGTTTAAGAAAACAATGTATCTATATTTAATTTTTGGGAGAAAGCTGGGGTGTGTGGTACATAATGAACAATGTGTAGAGATAAAACAACACAACAAATGCGCTTTCGTCATCTCAGCTTATGATTGAAAATAAGAAATACTGAACATTTTTATTCTTCATTTACAGAACCTGTAGAGATACTAACCTTCAGAATAAGTGATCCAATATCACGAGAGGGGAAATCTGTGCAGTTTGAAACGGAGATAGTTGATATCCTTGACCTTGGAGTGCAGTGGTTCCACAATGGGAACTTGATAACGAATTCTTCTTTGAGATATATAATAACATCTTATCCAACAGGGAATGGTACATTACGCAATGTGCTTAGCATACTAAATGTTTTGCAACAAGATGAAGGTAACCATAAATACGCATTTCAATGCTGTTTTTTTTTATACCTTGATTAATGTGTTGTCCATTTTTGCAAAAATGGATTGATTTTGTAGGAAACTGGAATATCACTGCATCAAACGGGAAAACATCTGCAAGCAGGAGTATTTACCTACGAGGTGAGGAAAAGTAAAAAAGAAAAAGAAAGACAGAGAAGAAAATGTGTCATATCTTAGTCATAGGCCTTTTTACTTTATCTTTTTTGAAAATCGGATGCTTTGTCTGGAACAATAAGCAGTTATGCTCAGATGTTATTTGCAATTGTCAGATGGTTTGCACTTTGAGGTAGGCCTGGGGGGGGGGGGGACTATGCAAAGAAATATTAAAAAGGTATAAAGAAATGTTTTTCATTATCATAAAAGTTGGTGAGAAAGAAAATATATATTCATTCAGAAGTGCAGAAGATGAAATCATTTTTGTTAATATTTTTTTTAATAATGTCGTCCCTTATTTGTTTATTTATAAAAATGATTCTTTTACAATATGATGATTCTTTTTTAGTACTTCCAAAGCTTATGCTGCAGATGATACCAAGAGATGATCTCTCAATCGAAAGCAAGGAATCAATCAATCTTCTATGCGTTGTCACTAATCCAGAATCCTTATTTAATTTGACTGGCGGTGGTTTATTCTGGCAGAAAGACGGCAAGAAAATATTATCAGGTATCCATTTTATTAATGAATCTAAAATAGATTTTTCAGTGCATTTTTATATTTGGAATGATATACTTCTTTCAAGTTGAAATTAGAGAGAAATGTTTTATTCCTTTAACTCACTATGTCTTAACCGGCCAACTTTAAAATAATGTTTGTTTGCCCTCTCCCGACCCAGGATAAGGTAGGTAAGAAAATTATTTTTCTCAGAAAATTTCAATATCCATGCCAAATTTTCAAAATTTATTTTCCGGAATACATAAAAAGTAATAAATGATTTCTGGAGGTTATAAAAAGCTTTGAGTCGGGCCATGTTTAGCAAGTCGGTCGGGAGAGGGCAACCATACAAATTTTTAAAGATGGCGTTATATTAATTTGAATTGGTGTTATACTTTCTGAAAGGCAGCTAAATGTTTACAGATTCTGGATTCAATATAAATACAACAGTCACCTCCACGACTTTGAAAAAGTCATCAGCAGAAGTCGATGATACCGGAACTTATTTGTGTTCTCACGCTGCCTATCCCGACCCAATTAATGTCTCCATAAATATAAATATTACAGAACCAAGTACGTCAGTTTTTTACCACGCTCGAAAATAGTTGTTAAAGTTAAGTGAAAGCAAGAGCTTTTGAACGCGTGCTCATAAGTTACATTAACTGAAACTTATCATTTATCTTTCGGAATGAAGAAAATATACAAATGTTTGACTTATTACTTTGTAATTATCATTAAAATGTATAATAGATAAAACAAAAATATCTGTATCATTTGTGAATATTTCTTTGGACATTGATTTAAAGATCTTTACATGAAATGCAACTGGAATTTTGAGGAAGAAAATTATTTTCAATCAGAATCAACTCGTACAAATTCAAGAAAGAATTAAAGAAAGTAACTTTTACTTACAGAATCAGTAGAAATATTATCCTTCGAAAGTAGTGGTTCATTATTACGTGAAGGAAAATCATTAAGATTTGAGTCGGAAATACTGCTCGACCCTGCCCTTAATGTTCAGTGGTTTCACAATGGAATATTAATTAACAATTCGTCAAGATATACAATTACTTCATCCATAACAAACAACGGTACATCGATCCATGTGCTTCAGATCTTCAACGTATTGCTGCAAGATGAAGGTAAATCAAATGATATATTGTAGAACGAATCTAAACAATTAAAGACATTTTAAAGTAGCGGAATATGTTAGAATGCTAGAGTAAATTTATTGCTTTTGTAGGTGAATGGAATGTAACGGCATCAAATGGGGTGACAACTGAAACCAAGAGTATCAGAATACAAGGTAATTACAAATGTACATTAAATTAAAAAAAATATTTTCAACCTTTTGAAAGTACAGCTTATGATATCAAAGTTCTGGCAATTATATTTTACATTTAGTTTTACAAAAGCTGAAGCTACAGATTATACCAAAGTACGATTTTTCGATTCAAAGCGGCGAAGGTATTGATCTCGAATGTACTGTCATCAATCCTGAATCCCTGAAAAATTTGTCTGGTGGAAGTTTAATCTGGCAGAAAGACGGGCAAAAAATTTTATCAGGTATTTGAAACATCCAAAATTCATATGAGATCCAAGATCAAAGATCAATATTGCCAACAATTGAGTTACTTGGACCGAAGCTATTTGATTTTCAAGTACGAAGAGAATCATTTTTACATCTAATACAATTCAAGTTTCATTAAGAGTGTTTTCAAATACAGGATTCATTATAAATACAACCAATTCAAGTACACAACTGAGGAAGTCATCATCAGAAATAGATGAATCTGGACGATATTCGTGCTTACACTCTGCTTATCCTGACCCAGTAAATGTTTCCATTTATGTTAATGTCACTGAACCAGGTAATTTTAAAAGAAAGGTATCAACGTAATTTAAGTTGATAATAAATTTCTTTTTTGTTGTGTATCCATAAGCTATCAGTATGGTGATCATTTCTGAATGAAACGAAAATTCGAGTTTAGCTTAAAATGTAAGAATACACCACTTAAGTGTGTAATTTACCACTTTTCATTCACAGAACCGATAGAAATGCTGTCCCTGAAAATAAACAAGCCAGTATTGCTTGAGGGTGAACCAGCTTGGTTTGAAGCTGAGATAGTGAACAAGTCTGGTCTCATTGTGCAATGGTTTCACAATGGAATTCTGATAACTGACGCTTTATCTAGATTTAGAATGACATCCTCTACAACAGCCAATAATACATCACTTTATGTACTTAACATAGCAAGTGTGATACTACAAGACGAAGGTATATTCATAATTGTTATATAAAAATAAAAACAGAAAATTTTATAAAATTCATATCCAATTACAAGCACATAAAGCATAAAATCAATACTTTTAAAACTCATAATTATGCTAAATGTAGGAAACTGGAATATAACAGCATCAAACGGGCTGACAACAGCAAGCAGAGGTATCAGTCTACAAGGTAAGATTAGATAAAAAATGTCTGAAGATTTTTTTTAACATTTCATATGTGTAATTTTAAAAAGCTACTGTTTAACAATGAGCAATATTTATCAAGCAATGTTATTTTGATTATAATTACTGTTTTTTGACAATGCATATATTTGAAATATTTTGTTTTAGAGATACAATATACTTTTCAGTAAATGATTTCCCAGAGAATAATTCTTCGGCAAACAATTTTATATTAAAAAGTATGAAAAAATGTCACTATAGTCAATTTTTACAAACTATACTATTTTCAGTGTGAACAATTAAAGCTTGACTAAAATTTAAAATATCTCCATATTAAGTTCGACAATGTATTTCAAATCATCACAAAGTAATATATTTTAACCTGATTAACAAATTTTGATCCTCACTTTAAAATATAAATAACTTTTGAAAGCATTACGTTTCTTTTTTTCTCCAAAACCTGCCTCATTCAATCAAAGAGATTATAGCAAATTCTTTTTGCATATTTTTAAATTATGAAACTAAGTATTCGAAAGACTGATTTAAAATTTGATAATTTATATACTCCAAAATTGCATTTTATTGTATATTCTTAATAGTTCTCCCAAGAATTTCGCTGCATTTGACACCACAAGATGATTTCTCGATCCAGACCGGAAAAGCTATTCACCTTCTATGCGAAGCTTTATATTCGGAGACACCAGCTTACTCTACTGGCATAAATTTAAACTGGAAGAAGGATGGAAATAATATTTCGTCAGGTTTATATATTTTCTCTGAAATTCAATTCTCAAAAATATTTCTGTTGTAAAATGATATCTTTTATGACAGAAATTTTTTTTCATGGCATGCATCATATCTTAATATTATAAAATAGATAGAAACATTTTATTTTTCTTTTGATGTAACAATTATTATAACAACTTGTATTTGTAGATCCGAGATTCAATATAAGTAAGACAGCCATGTCCACGACTTTACATAAGTCATCAGCAGCATTGACTGACTCTGGTCATTACTCTTGCTTACATTCAGTCTATTCTAATACCGATGATATTTCCGTGGATGTAAATGTTACAGAACCAGGTATGCCACTGTTTTGTAAAGTATCAAAATTTGACGTTGTATTTCAGAAAAACAACATAGGTTCAATGTAATTTCATGTACTACCTTCACATGGACAAATGATGTACAAGTATATAAAAAAACCTAAAGTAATTTAAAATTATTTGATTTCTTTGAAATTACAAATTCGGGTATATATATTGTAACATCGACGTCTTGTAGTTATATGTTGTAGTTCTTCTGTTTATAAAATCTTTGCAAAACTTAATATATTCTTGCATTTAAAAGTATGAATTAAGAAGATTAGAATAGATAAAAAAGTCGATAAATCTTAAAACGATTTTAGATAAAGATAAACCATGCCCTTGTCAACATGGAGGAACTTGCATAAATTCTATCTGTGCTTGTCCCGTTGGATATCAAGGCAGATATTGTGAGAATGGTTAGTATTATATTACTTAACTGTATCTCTTCTCTGAACACTCAGCTGTTATTGTTTCACCGATATTATTGGGAAGGTTTTAAAAGGACATCATTAAAATACTATATGTATCTTATACGATCCTAGAAATTATTACTCCAGAGAACATTAATGTAGAATTTACAATCGTGGAAACTTTGATTTTTATACAAATTAATATTTTCTTGACTAGCAAAGTTGCTCTCATATCCTTTTGGAGTAATTATATCAATTAATTAAGGTTTCGAGATATTATTAATGAATTAAAAAACACAAACACAAAAAAAGCCAACCAACCAAACAAACAAACTCTAACCAGTGAATATGAATTAAAATGCCTATTTGTTTAACTACAGAATACATAGACATTCTATCCTATAAGAGAAGCAACTCAGTGATACGTGAAGGAAAGTCAGTGTGGTTCCAATCAGAGATCGTTGGTCCTGTTGGTTTCAAGGTTCAGTGGTCTCGCAATGGAATTTTAATAAGCAACACAGCATCCAGATATGTTATGTTTTCCTCTCAAACTGAAAATGGTACATCGCTTCATATCCTAAATATCACAAGTGTTTTGCAGCGGGATGAAGGTAAGTTAAAACTATATCTAAATAGAAAATAATATATTGATGTAGTTTTTACAAATATGCTAATTTGTTTTTATCCTTTACGTAGGATATTGGACAGCTACAGTATCAACAGATTTGACAACGGAAGCCAAGAATATAACAATAAGTGGTGAGGATATATTGCACACAAAGCATAGGGGAAGAAAAAAATGATAGTCTTTAAGTTTATTTATTATTAAGACATAACCAATAACCTGTTTAGTAAGAGTTCATTCTGTATCAAGGTTTGTCTTCTATTTATACGTTTAACATACACTGTTTATTTTTTTAATGACTTTTACAAAAAAAAAAAAAAAAAAAAAAAAAAAAAGAGAGAGAGAGAGAGAGAGAAAAAAAACCCATTCCACCGAATTTTGTTCAAATGACTAAATTTGTCCTGATGAAATTATTTTTCCATTTTTTGTTTGAAAAATACTATTACAGGCACATCATATTTAATGTTTCTTTTATTTGTTAGATGATCTTTTCACAGGTAAAATTGTATTGTATATTCAGAAGAACATTTACCTTTTAACTTACATTATAAAAGAAAAAAAAGCAACATATTTTAAATTTTTGTTCAAAATATGTAAAAACGTACGTGTACATTACAAATCAAGATATATATTGTATATCTAACCATTTATTTGTCTTGACGTGCTTAACTATTTCACAGAGGAATATTACTCATTTTTTTCCAGTCCTTTGATAAACACGATACATAAATTTGTGGCCGTATAAATTTGAAATTTTTCTGTGAACCAAATACATGAAGTGGGTGTTAGAATTGGTTAAATATTGCTAGTTAATATCTTCTGAGATATGAACGCTCATAAATGAAAAGGGTGAAGAAAACTTACATTGATCAATGACAGAAATCCTAAAATACCAACGCATGTCGAAAATAGGACAAACACGGACCTACATTTCTTCTAAATGTTTTAAATGTAAAACTCAAACCGCTTTAATATGAGGTAGAGAGATTGTCGAGTTTTGAGTTTATTTGTAAACCTCAAATGGTGGATAAATCTAGAAATGGTCGAGTTTCGATTTTATGTGTAAAACTCAATTGGTAAACAAATTTCAGAAAACAACACTTCAAATCCGCTAAAATAAACCAAAGTAAGAACCCCGCTAAAAGTTTCCGCTATACGATATACTGTGAGATTTAAAAACCTTGTTATATAATCATACTGAAAATACTGTAATTAAGGAGCAATAAAAATGCACTAAAATGATCTCAATCTGAAAATTTCAAAGTGTATCCAGTAGCTTTTTTCTACTAATAGAAATCAATTCACGGCAAAAAAGGGGGTGAAGAGTTTTAATTCCTTTAAATTCTCAACAGCAATTTATTGGGTTTTTTATTTATAGTTCTTCCAAAGCTTTTGCTGCAGATGACACCACAATACGATTTCTTAGTTAAGAGTGGAGAGAGTTTAAATCTTCGATGTACTGTCATCAATCCTAAATCCCTGAATGATTTATCAGAAGGAAGTTTAATATGGAAGAAAGATGGCGGGAATATTTTATCTGGTATAATTTAAAATTCTGAAATTTTGAGTTGTATTTTGATGACTTAATCAGTAGCTAACAATAATTTAAGAAATATTTTCCTTACTATTTTAATTTTACCCTTGTTATTGCAAAATAGTGGTAGCAAACATATATTGCAAAGACTAGCATATGTACGAATTATTTTATATTAAAATGTTTTAGATACTGGATTCAATATAAGCACAACAAACACATCTACTACTTTGGAGAAAGAACGGGCGGATCTTAGTGACGCAGGAAGTTTTTCGTGTTCCCATTCTAGCTATCCAGACCCAGTGTCTGTTTCTATCTCTATTTCTGTTACAAAACCAGGTATGACAAACATTTTGTCAGGCGTAACACAAATTGATTATAAAATATTTGATACTAATTGGAATATCTTATATGTATATAAAAATCTAGCACATTACTCGTTCTATATAATTAAAGGGAATATCTTTGTTCTTAAAAGCTGATTCAATTTTAATGAGCAGAACAAATCAGATGTGCGGATGACAAGATTAATAATATAATTTGGAAATCTACAATTGCTGGAACAACTAAAAAAGAGTCGTGTCCTGAAAATCAAAAAGGTATCAATCAATTGTCAAACACCTAATATTGATCGTTCTGAAATTTAGCGATTAATTGATATATGCCTCAGGGTTCATGATTATCAAAACAATAAGCAATAGAATGTTACTGAAAGAAAAGAAATACCGATTTCCTGAATAATACTAGTTTTCCTATTTAATTTGTTGCAAATAAGACAATTTCTTCAAAATGTAATCAGTAATTATTGTTGAAAAGTGAGAACTAGTAACAACTGTAATGCATATTTCTATATCACAGGAACTGCAACCAGATATTGTAATTTACAAGGTGTTTGGGACTCCCCCAATCTTATCAACTGTACTGATGTCGCTTTAGCAAATGCTAATGAAGAGGTAAGACTTTGAATATGGAATTCCATTGATCTGAAATTAAAAAGAAAACAGTTTTCATATGAACCAAACTAAATAGACTTTTTACACTCCGAAGATATTTTTTAATTCAATCTGGCGCAAAATAACATTTCCCCATAATTGTTTTTATCTTCAGATGGCATATACTGTAAACAAGTATTATTCGCATGCGAGAAATATAATATCAGACATATATGTTTCGCGCTCTTCCTTTACTAGTGAAGATTTCTCTCTGTAAACCATAATTTTAGTTGTGTTTCAATGTAGAACGTTTCCTTGGTCCCGAAAATTATTCGTCGCGGATGGATTTAAAACCCACCAATCGCGAATAAAAGTTGCAAATAATAGCTGGTTTACAGTGTAAGTTGGGCAAAGACAAAAATAATAATCTTTAGTACACATCCAATTACTTAAGTAAAAATAAAATGACTGCCTCATCATTGACATTTTATTGATGAAATACTAAAATAATTCTCCGATATATCGGATGTTGTCTTTATTTTTAGCTTACCTAAGCCGAAAGCTCAAGTTAGTTTTTCTGATCGAAATTTTCTGTTGTCGGCGTCGTGGTAAACTTTTCACATTTTCATCATCTTCTTCAAAACCGCTGGGCCTGTTTCAACCAAACTTGCCACAGGTATCATTTTTCAAAAAGAGAATTTAAATTTGTTCGAATAAAAGACAACATGCTCTTTTTAGAGGGATAATTAAGAATTTGTGAAAATTTATTGCCATCATTCGAAATTTTTTTTCTCTAGAACCACTGGGCAAGAAAAAATTAAAACTAACGTGAATGCTTATTTGAGAATGTACATGTAAGTTTGAACAAATCATAACCCCAGGAATAGGGTTGATCCCCAATGGGCGTTCAAAGTTGCAAAGGAATTATAGGAATTTCTATAAAAATCTTCATCTCAAGAGTCGCTAGGCCAGAAGAGTTGAAACCTATGTGAAAGCTTCATTGCAAAGTGTAGATTCAAGTTGTTTAAATCATGACCCCTGGGGTAGGGTGAGGATCCAATGGACAATCAAAGTTTTACATTTGAATAAAAAGAGAAAAAAATCCTTCTAAATCGTCTTCCCAAGAGCTACAGAGGTACGATTAGGCATATTGATATGGAAGTATCCTCGAATAGTGTACATTCAAATTTATTCAAATTCTGACCCTGGGGATAGGGTGTGGCCACAGTGGATGATCAAAGTTTTAAGTAAAAATATATAGGAAATAATCTTTGAAAATCTTTACAAGAACAGCAAAGGCACGATTAGTCACGTTGATATGGAAGCATCCTCAGATAATATAGATTCAAAATTGATCAATCATTACCCCTGGGATGGGGAAGATCGAATGGGACATCATAGTTTTGCATAGAAATGTATAGGAAACATCTTCTAAAGAACAGCAAAGGCATGTTTAGTCATATTGATTTGGAAGCAACCCCAGGTAGTATAGATTTAAATTTGTTCAAATCATTACCCCGGGGTAGGGTGGGTTCACAATTTACAATCCAATCATCAAAGTTTTGCATATAGGAAACAAACTTTAAAAATCTCAAGAACAGCAAAGGCATGATTAGACATGTTGATATAGAAGCATTTTAAGATAGTGTATATTGTGTATATTCAAGTTTATTCAAATCATGGCCCCGCAGGGTACAGTGGGGCGAAAGTTTTTCAAAGGAATATTAAGAAAATAAATCTGCTGATGGGCCTTAATGACTCAGGTATGCGTTATTGCCCATGGGCATATTGTTTTAAATTAAAAAAAATAAGGACATCTTATTTTCATATCCTCAGTTAGACAGTATAATTGCTGATGGTATAACTGAGAATGTAGATGAGGCAGTGAACAACACTTTAGTGAAGATGAAGAACCTGACATCAAAGAGTAGTGTACTGAGTGCCGGGGATATCAGCTCCTCTCTTGACATCCTAGAGAAGATAGTCAACGTCACAAATCTGACGAGTGCAAATGTAGAAAAAGAGGTGGGATAAGTATATTTATACTTTACAGTTTTGTAAACTGTGTATGATTATAATAGTCTTCAATGCATGGAAATTCGTGAACATTGTTCTTGAGAATTTTTGTTTTAGAAAAGCTCTTCCTCTATAATTTTATGTTTAACATTAACCAACTTTTGGTGGTCCCATGTTTGTTTTGGAGCGAGATTTGAACAATAAATATTTGAAGCATACATACTACGTCGCGGGTTTGAATCCCACTGCGGGACGTGGAGACAGATGAAAACGTATAAACCGAGGTCCCGCGTCGCAGTAGCTTTTTTTCAATCTTCCGGAAAACGACAAAGTCGCTAGTAAACCAATTAATAGTCTTGGCATGTATTGAGACTTCAAGTTTATTCAAATTATTGCCCTATGAATTCTCACCTCTCAAAACGAGAATATTAAATAGGACATTAAAGAGTGGGTTCTCATATAGATGGAATAATTATATTAATAATTTGGAGAATTTTTCAAGTCTACAGTGTACCAAGATTCAAATAAATGTGATGATACTTTATAACCATACACCAAGAGATAGGCTTAGTTTTTAACTTCGATTATACAATAAACCAAATATATGTACATGATGTCTTAATTGATTAGTTTTTACCTTCCAAAAATAAAATATCTGCATCGTATTGGCAGAAAAAAATACTCTGTACTCTTTAGTTTGAAACTTTTAAACGTTTTATTCTAAGAAGCTAAAGTAAGTCAATACTTGGTCTTGTCATTAATATGATTACTACATTTGATTACGAAATATTACGTCTACCTAATCAATACTTAGGATTCAAGGCGGATGTGATAGGTCGTCAGGAGATGCTGACACCTCCTAGGCACGGCATCTGACCCCATCTCTGAAATTTTCGGGGGTCTGTGTGTTATGCAATGTTCTGATTTGCATTGTTTGAGGTTTTTCGAGATCGATCACTGTTCGTTTTCTTCATCTTTTTTCATTACCACAAAAAATGAGTTAAAGCCCAGGCATCCTTTTAAAAGAAAACAATGCAATGATTCTAGATCTTGTTAAGCACAAATTGAAATTTCTTTTATTTTTTTTTAATTTTGCTCTTTCCAGGCCTTTTTCGAGGTTGTCGACAATGTTTTATCAACGAACAATTCCAAATCATGGACTGCTGTCAGCGACAAGGTAGTGAATGAAAAAACAAATTTCTCAGTTTTTAATTATAAATAAAACTCTCAATTTTTATAATAAAAGTAGCAGTTAAATAATGTAAACGCTGCCACAAAAAAGAAAATATCAATTGGGCAAATAAACATTATTGTATAAAAATACAAATATATTTTTAACTATCAGATATACTTTTTGTACGATCTTAAATCCACAAACAGACAGAAAAGGATGCAAGCTCACTTTTAAAGAATATGGACCGAATGAGTGAAGTTGTTTTGAAGAAAGAAAACGTAACAGCATCAAAATTCAAAGGGAAAAATTTTGGTAATATATAAGCAATTACATACATATATTATTTCTATTGGCAATATATATCAATAAAAAAAAATGCAAATATATATAAATAAAAAAAAATGAAAACAAGGTATAACAGTTTTTTGATACATTTAAGAGGTGTCTGTTGACCAAACAAAGGTAGATGAAAAAGGAATCGTTTTCCCAGAAAAGTCCGAGAAAACACCAAATGATACTTCAAGTGATACTGAAGAATATTCCACATTTCTTGAATTGCCAAAGCAAACAAATAAAATTGAAAAAGGTTAGTCAATAAAGTTCTTTATTTCCATTTAATAAATACATGTATATGACTTTACGCCATGAGTTTAACCAGTTTGTGTTGTGTTGCCTATTGACTATATCAAACTATGTCTTAGTGGACCGTGTAAGTGAGTGGAAATTTTAGCGAAACGCAAATTTAGCGATTTATCCCCAAACATTTTAGGAATGACTCTAATTCTTGGCCAAATTATTCGAGGATAACCTGGTTTGGGTCAGTTTACGCTTTATAATCCGCGAAGCGGATTATAAAACAGCGTAAACTGACCCAAACCAGGTTATCCTCGAATAATTTGGCCAAGAATTAGAGTCATTCCTTATAATTTAATTCTAAAATCATTAAACAACTCTGGGTGTAAAATTTCGTTGCTTTTTATTAGTTCAAATTTGCCGCTCAATAATACAACCCTAGTAACGGAAGTGATGGGAAGCAAGGGGAGGTAAAAACTGATACATAGTCCTAGCAGCCATGTTTTTTGTTTACATGTGGTAAGATCCGAGTTACTGTTTGAAGTTAAAGGTACATTTATTAAATCTGGAATTTTCCATGAATCCCGAGGACTGGAAATGAGAGGATTGCATGGATACAGACGATTCAGCTGGTTGTCAGGGGGGTGTGTCCCCATACCAAACCAGGTTATACAGAAATAATTTGTGTTCCTTTTTGGATATTAACCAATCAGAGGCTAGAATACAAACAAAATTAAATTATTAATAGATATTTTAGCGAGAAGTAATTTAACAATTTCAAAATGTCAATGGAGGTATCTATAACAACCGACAAGGAATGAATTGTTAGCGATATTCAATTTTAACGATCTCAGAACCCTCGCTAATAATGCCAAAATTAAATCCTCGCTAAAAATTCTGCTTATACGGTATGTTAGTTATGAGGAAAATCAATAGCTTATTTTGGATAATATTTTTGTAGCTATTACTTATGTGGCTGTCATATACAAGACGATTTCAGACATTTTACCCACGGATTCAAGTTCAGAAACGTAAATATTGCAATATTTCTATGACATATTGAAACTCAATAACTTTTCCTCATCTTACATTTGCAATACTTTGGACTTTTGTTTTTATAGACTACGAAGACACAATCAATCAACATTAGCCATGTAATTTTCTATGCCTTACAATTGATTTAACTTTCAAATGAGACTTTGGTCATTTATTCAATGTCAAAACAAAATAATGATCATTTTGCCTTCCATGAAAATCAATCCAACCCACTAAAAAGAATTGTATATGAAATTAATACCCACAATTTGCTCGAAAATCCAGTCACCTGATTTGAAGTGTAAAATTGTTGTCCTTGATATACTGAAACGCAAAAGAAACGCAACAAGCAGTAATCTACAAATATTTGAACCTTTTAACTAATGATTTTCAAAACTGATTACAGTTGAGTTAAACTCGATTTAAAAACATCAGAGATTTGATAACAATGTTAAATGATTATCCTTTAATTTTAGAAAGTAACACATTACTGTTAAAACACCCCCCTTCTTAGCCATTCAAATATAGCGTGGAAGACTGCCATGCACAATTGCAGCTTGATTTCCAAGATGCAATAGGTTCATCAATCTCGAGATCTGAGCGAAAAAAATATTCTTTGCCATTTTTAAATGTCCGTTTTTCAGATGACGAGGTCGAATTTTCTCTAACCTAGCGCAGTGCAGTAACACTTGGACTTCTGGTCCACGGACTATCATTCATGCTAATGATACGTATGAGCCTGTTTAGGCGTGTTGTCGTGCATTTTTGCATCTGCAATTCTCCATCACCTTTAATTTCAGATTTTCCAGCTAGAGCATTTGAAATGCGTACTTAAGTCATTTTCAGGAAGCCTTGGCACCTCTTCCGGAAACGAAAGAAGAATTTATTTTGCAGAATATTTGCTGCATTACTTATGATTAACAGATACAAACCCTTAAAACCCCATATTTTTGTCAAATGTTTTGTTAAACATGCAATTTTTGAATTCTGTTAAGCGGGCTCAAACTCAACTTCCGTTTATGGCATGAAAATCATTCAACCGTTAAATTATCGATACTTACAATGTTATAGATATCCGTACTTTTTAGATACAAAATTATATCCTTTATATAATTTTCCCCTCTAAAATAGGATGTTGCGTTTCTTTTGCGTTTCAGTATATTTTCTTTAATTTTTTTTTTATTTTATAATGATAAAACTTCCAAAGATCATATTTCCAACACGATTGATAATGATCGTAGGATATAAATTGACCCTGAAATTATCACAAGGTCACAGAATTAAGAGAAGTAAATATCTTAGAAATGTAAAATTCTAAAACAAAAAAGAATTAAACGTTTTTGAAGAGCATAGAGAAGTCACACTTGGCACACAACCAAGAGGCATGTCATGATTATGTACCATAGTTGTATGCATAAGGTCAAGGTCACCCTACTGAGAAGTTTATTGTTATTTGTGCCATAACATTTAATTGCTTGGACTCTGGATGATTATTTAAACTCAATACAACCATTACTCTCGACTAAAGGTATTACAACCTTCATCGTTTATGACATTTCCATTAGATCCAGGGCATTGGAATTTTGAACTAAAAGTTTAGCAAGATGGCAGCATCTTTCAAAAGTTATTTTGAAGTGAGTCTTTTCGGTTACCCCAATTGTGTATTTATCCCATTTAGACACTTCTAGTTTATTTCATTTATGCCAGAGGTCATTCTTGAAAACATCTCGTAGTTCAAATTACAGTATGAATTCAACGTGGTAAGAAAGATAATATTCTGTAATTTTTCAATATTTAGAGAAGAAAGTTCAGATGCGGTGACAGAAGTAAAAGAGAAGAAAAAGAAAGAATTTGTCAATTCTGAAATTTTGTCACTTACTACTCAGACAGATCTGGGGATTCTATCTCCCCCTCTTAGTCTGGCCTTCCAACATAAACACGAGGTACGATTTCACTCGTCTTTCCAATTTCAGCAATTTTGTAAAGCATAAGTATGCAAGATTATGGTGACATTTACATTACCTGCCATTTGTTATGCACACATTTTTATGTTTTAGTAATTGAACTACATGTTTTTTTTTCAGTTCCTTATCGAGATTGCAAAATAGCAATATCAGTACCCCTTATTCTTATTAAAGCAATTGATATTGTCTTCTGTGGAAAAAAAAAACAAACTTGCATTAGTTTCACAAAACTCTTCTATTTTGTGTCGCCTCAGGGATCACTTTATCCGGCGTCTGTCTTTCTGTCCGTCTGTCACACTTTGTATCTCCAGAACTGTAAGATATATGGAATGGATTGCAATAGTTCCTTATCGAGATTGCAAAATAATATCAGTGCCCCTTCTTCTTATTAAAGCAATTGATATTGTCTCCTGTGAAAATAAACTTGCATTAGTTTTACAAAACACTCCTTTATTTTGTGTCGCCTGCAGAGAAGAGTGGCATTTAGAAATCACTTTACCCGGCGTCTGTCTTTCTGTCCGTCTGTCATACCTTGTATCTCAAGAAGTGTAAGAGATATGGACTTGATATTTTGCATATATTTTGCTTGGCACTATGGCATTTTTAGCATTGCCATGGTTACCGACCTCGTGACCCTTGACCTTGACCTACTTCACAAAAAAGTTAAAAGTACCAATATAGAGCATATTTTTGACATTTAAGGGGTAAGCTATGCTATTTAGCATGTGTACTGATTGTCGTAAACATTATGAAAAATACCAGCGTTACAATTCACTTGACCTTGACCTTTGACCTACTTTGCAAAAAATACCCTGGACAGTTTAATTTAACTTAAGATTTTTGAGTTTTGAGAGGCGGTGTGTTGATAATTACCATTTATACATGTTTATGAGCTCATAATAAATAATAATGTAATTTGAAAGTGTATGTTATTCAGTTACCACACAAACTGATATTTAAATATTATGAAAATACATCGGGATCAGTATCCCACAACGGCTCGTGTAGAGTAACAATTGGTGTAAAGACTTTGAAACACGTATTAACACATGTAAAGTGATAAATAACTCTTTACAATAATTTAAACGTAATTATTCATTTGAGGATTGGGAATCATATTTTCTTTGATTGTCAGACTCAATCGCAGTCTTATACTTTGTGTCAATGCTTTTTTTGTGTATTCATGAACTGTCATGGAAGTAGTAAATAAATAGCTAAATACACTTAGATTTATTTACATCTTTAATGAAGCTACAAAGCAGGCGACACATGCGTTCCTTGGAACACTCTAGTTTACTCTTTGGGTCATGTATGGGACTCTGTGATAAATTTTCAGTGCATTGAACTTGCATAATTGACTTTGATAATGGTCTGGAAAAACTCTCAAACATAAGAAATCTATCACTTTTGAGCTTCTAGGCCTATATTCATTTCAGGTGTGAATTGTTAATGGTTATCAATGACGACAGTTTAGCGTAGAGATGGATTTAACTATAATTTCTTTAAGTGACCCACGGCGTCGACTTTAAACAACTGACCTGATCAAAATCATTGCATATCCCGATTCATTAGAAACCTGTATCGTGTGTAAGCTTCAAGGATATACTTCAGACAAATTTCAAATTAGTGACTTTTGAAAATTTGAAATAAAACACAATTTTCATCATGAGTTTGTATTTGAATATTATGCACCCATGGATCTTTTTAAATCATGTTTGTTAAAATAAATAAATAAATAAAAATTAAATATAACTTTTACTGAAGTCTCTTTTTAGTTTATAGTATTGAGATCAGTTCTTTACTGTAAATTTCATCTCTTTTGACATGAACATGATCTGCACAAACCGAACAAATGATAATCAGGGTAAATCCTGAAAACTATGCATTTGTTTGCTAGAAAATAACATTTTCTTTATAATGTATTTTACCGTATGTTGCAATTCATCTTTCTAGAACGAAAGTGCTGACCTTAAAGCAGTTTGTGTGTCATGGGATTACACCATAAAGTAAGCATTTGATTTTTTTTAAATAACAAAAGACAATCAATCTACTGAAGTGGCAATATCTGAATTTCTCTCTACTTTAGGGAAAATAAACTTGAAAACTCATATGCTTTTTCTTATCACATATTTTCTACGATAAATGTTTGCTTTTCTCTTTGTAAAATTCATAATATACCATTATAAGTATTTGATATAAGACTGAATTATTTGATCTTTTTTGATAATAAGATTTATTTTTGGATAAGTAAATGGTCTGAAAAAGGATGCAAAGTAAATTCCACCAATACCAAGAGGACAGTTTGCCAGTGTAACCATCTGACCAACTTTGCCATTCTGATGAGACCTTACACACCTGTAAGAAAATAATCAATGATATCTTTAACATTAAAGAGCGTGACTACGTTAAAACCATTTAATGTCGCAAAGCAAATTACATGAAATTTTGTAGGCAAGCTACGCTATCCACTGGTATTGTAAATGTAAATATAGTATTCTGATAAATTCAATATGAACCCGGTATGAAGCGCCACCTATAATAAATCCTTTCTGGTCAGATTTGAATTGCATTTTAAATAAAATCTAATCTTTTCAGCCCAATTGTTTGACCATTATTCACAAACAAAGTATATATGAAAAATAGAAACAAATACTATCATTTGAAAAATATATATCAATAAGATTACTGAGTACTTGAATATAAGAAAGAGAAGATAACTCAAGAAATTGACATGTTGCCACCAGTTCACTTCGTTCAAAATACGAAAGGTTTAAATGCATTTATTTTACATAAAGTAACACTTTAATTTAAAAAGTTATATAACTATATGTGTTAATCTTGAGACCTTTATTTATATCCAAATCAAATATCATGCTGGGTATTCTAAAAAGTAGAGATAAGGGAAATTAAAAATACAATACTTTGCAAAATATGAAGAAAAAATGCATTTAGAAATATTCTTCCTTCTATTTCATTCATTTTTTATGTGTAATTATAGTATTTTTAAAAAAGTTAAATCTACGAATAAGAAGAAATTATGTTTTGCAAGGATGCTTATGTATTTAATCAACATCTCAATAAATTCGATCAAATTTAACTTTCTGACCTGACTAACTTGTCCTCTATTTTCTGTCCCATTGCAGATCCAGCTTATCCCTATCTCTTTGTAAATGTAATTATTCAAAATAGAAACGACCGTGGTATTATCCAGATCCCCTATATTAAGATATGCAGTTCCCTTTGCCCTATGATAATAATATTTTTGTGTCTTTGTCAAATAATTTGAGACTATAAAGATTTTACATATACACGAATTTTAAAACAAAGAATTTTTTCAAATGAACATTTTCCAGTCATTTATCCATTCCATTGTTATTAACAGCAAATTGTGTATAAAAAGCTAAACATTGTTAACTTTAGCAAAAGGGAAAGACTTCGTGTTTTTCTTTTTTCCAATTACAAGATAACGCTTGTCAAGGTCGATATCTGTAAACCTCTATTAATAAGACTTTTAAAAAATCCTACAGTGTATTCCCTGTACATGAAATTTTGTTAGTTACAAGATTCTTTTTTCTTTAATTTTAAAGGTTGTTATTTTAAAAACATTACATAAGAAAGTGGAGAAAAGTTTCTTACTGCTTAAAGGTAAAAAATGATCTCAAAGCCTAAAAAGATGAGTAAAAGGACTTTAAGCGACTAGAAAGAAACACCAAAGATACAATATATTATTAAGTTTTATCAACGAAATAATTATTTGTAGCAAGAAAAATATTTTTTTTTCAAAAGATTACTTCTTTCTGTCTTTTTATCCTTCCCTCTTTATTTATTCCAATGAAAACAGTGGTAAAACAATTAAAAGTTGAACATATTGAAATCCTTGTAAAGAGTTAAGTAATCATCTACCCAGTAAAATCTTACTTTTGTTTAAAAACAAAGCCGAAATCTTTATAAATGCTATATAAAAATGAGATTGGGGTTTCCAAGTGAAAGTCAATGAAATAAGACAACATCTGTATAATGATTGACAATACATACTCGAGCAAACCTAATTGCCAAATACCATGTGAAGTGCAGAAAGGTCACATTAAGGAGGCTGTTCATGTTTGTCACTAACATAAAAAATGGATACTTCGTGGTATCTTTACATATATGTTAGTGATTTCAATTCAATTACAATCGATTAATTCATTTAAATCCTTGAAAAAATCCGCTTATCTAATGTTAAATGAATGAAAAATGCTGTTACTAAAAATAAATCAAAATGATTCAAAATGATTCAAAATTTGATATCACTATTGACGTTCATAAACATAAACATTTGAATCAAATATCAACTTATGTCAATATGAAATACTTTTTTCTGGACAATTTTTTGCATCTTACACGGTTTTACCTTAGACACGGTCTTGAATACACCATTTTCAAAATTTGCTTTGATATATGCAGTGTAATAGAGGATTAAACATACACTAGACAAAATTGCTAACGTACCACCATCAGAAACTGATAATTATCTTTTCAAAACTTATTTATGAGGAATTTCATGAATAAATATTTTAATATAGTTAATATAGTTAGAATTAGGGCATCTAAATACCTAACTGATTAAAAAATACGGCATAGCCATTTCATAGAAATTCCTAAAAAAAATTTATACCCACATTTTTTGGAAAATAGATTCTTCTATTAATCTAAATTCTTTATATTATCCACTCTTATTAATTTTTTTTATCTAACAATTTTTTTCTGTTTTAAATAAAACCAACATACACATAAACGCATTTAATCTGTACACTGTATCATTAATTATATTTGAAATTAATATTTCCAATTTGGAGCAATTCTGTCCATGTAATTTATGCTTTGAAGAATTTTGTTGCAATTTTAACTGTACTAAAATATGTGGAAAAAAAATTAGTTCTGAAAAGAATAATGCTATTCCTCAAGAATTTATGATAATTAGACATCCAAATGAAAAAAAAAAACACGTTGGATATCTAGAACAGTAAGTATGACACATCTACATGTGTACCACAATCACCCTATAACCCATTATTCTTTGTAATTTCCATTTAAATAACTGAAGCCTTTCATCATAATTAATCTCTTTCAACACTCAATCTTATAATATATAGCTATCGAGGGTTCATACCAAAAATGCATTGATCAACCCCGAACAGGCTTATAATAAGCCAACAATTATCACTCGAACAAGGGAAAATATTCTTTAGCTGACAGCCACCAAATAGAATTGAATCATGCATTAGTTTATTTCGTTGGATGTGATTTTCTGCCTCTTCCAGAAGGAAGCCCATTATTTCCAGAATTTGTGTAAATTATGTTAATTACTAAACACTGTATGTATATATATATAAATTACCTCAATTTTTTTTGTTTTAAAATTAAGTTATAAATTTTCTGTCTATGTACAAAAAATTAAAGAATCGTTATCAGATGTAACCATGATTACTTTTATTATTTAATCATTAATTTAATGGATCATATTTGAAATTAATGTAATCATTAATTTAATGATTTGCAAATAAAATCCAATGTAATTGTAATTAAGTCAATTTATATTTTAAAGTATTCGGGTTCATGTCTGGTTGCAACCTCATCGACATTCATCGGTAACTACCTACGTCATATTAGTACAAAAACACAATCGGCCGCCGAATATTCGTTTGCGGGCAAGAAGACCATTTGATGGTTTTATTTTGACACCAAAACATAAGTTAATTCGACTACATTAGGCAACATAGCATATTAGATTTACTCATGTCGATTTAACAAATGTTCTGTTTACCTATGACAAATATTGAGTGGTGTCTCAGCATTTTTGCCCAGTGTATAGTTACAAAAAGTTAATAATTGTTGATTCAGCCCTAATGTCTGAAATAATATTGTATTCTATATATATTTTCCATCAAACGTTCATTTTCAAAAATTATTTTAAAGGAGACTGAAGATGGAGCCTCTCTGAAGACGTTATCTCTCGTTGGTGTTATCATCTCGATTGCTTTCACAGTTTTAACGTTTATCATATTTATTCTGACTTGGAAGTATGTGTTTTATGAGATTTATCTTAATAATTTGTTTAAATCTAAAATATGATTTGAAGGGAAATCTTTAAGATAAACTATATATATATATATATATATATATATATATATATATATATATATATATATATATATATATATATATATATATATATATATTTAAAAATAGATACCATTGATTTTCAGACAAGTAAAGAGTGATCAAAATATAATGCTGCTTAATCTTTGTGGATCGCTGGTCGTATCCTACATCGTCTTCATCGCAGCTGTAGAAAAGACGGAAAATGAGGTGAACAAAGCTTTGTGACGAGAAATATATTAAATGTTATTTGATAAACCATACTCGCTCAATCTATGACAAATCAGAATAATTTTCCTCTAAAGGAGGATTTCAAAACTTGCAGTCCAATTAAAATTAGACCTTTCATCTTGCTCTTTGCTCTCCATGAACGACAAATAGATAAACAAAGAACTAGAAAAGGTCTCAACTTAATTAGAATGAGAAAACATGCATTATTTAAGGTTGTCATCCTCCTCTTATGCGTATCTTTTCTGACATTAGATATCAAAAATGCGGTTTAATGTCACAGCACAGTTTGACTGTTGTTAAAATGTGAAATAACTGTGAAAATATGTCAGGATTTGTTCGTACGATTTAATATCAAGAAGGAATTCTTTTATTTTTTCCAGGCTGTCTGTACATTCGTTACGGCTCTTATTCATTATCTTTTCTTGGTGACCTTCTTCAGTATGCTGAGTATGGGTATTTACTATTGCATGAGTATCACCGTGACATTCTACGCCATGTATGTAGCCAACAATTTCAAGTCCAAAACCAGAGTGCAATGGTTCCTTTTGGGGTCATGGGGTGAGATATTTGTATTTGGACTATTATGGCTTCAGTGTATATTAATTTATGTATAAGGCCATTTCAGGTTTTCATAATTGCTATTATAGGGCTAATATTATAATAATATGTAGTAGAAATAATTTCATAATGTATATTATTATATAGTTTATACTCATTAAGTTATAAATGTAATATTCTTTTCAGGTATTCCACTAATCATTGCAGCAATAACATTAGGAGCCTTCTGGGGGAATAATTACCACCTTAAACACTAGTAGGTTGTTTGCAAACTCTGTAAGCCAACGTACAAAGAATAAGTAATAATTTTAATATTAAGTAAATCATAACACTATAAATGGTCACCAGCGTGGCACAGTGGTTAGAGAGTTTGCTCTAGAGTCGCAGAGTAAGGAGCTTATCTTTGCGTCGCCGGTTCGAATCCCACTGTGGGACGTGGAGTCCGGTCCTTCGGATGAGACTGTATAAACCGAGGTCCCGTGTCGCAGAAGGTGCTGGCACGAAAAAGATCCCTCAATGGTCCTGAGTATAGGTCAACATTTGCAGCTCTCCACCGGCAAGTGGTGGCGTCTCCATATGAGTGAAAAATTCTCGGGAGGGACTTAAACAACAAACAAACACTATAAATGAAACACTAAATAAATGAATATGCGTAATTGACATGATTGACTGTAAATGTGGATATTTTTACACGGTAATATTTTGAGATTTCCTTGTAACAAAGCAAAACAATTCGTTTGCGTCACATTTTCTTAGAATCTATAAAATATTTTGGTTTGTTGTCTAATGTAGCACCTTTTTTCGAAACCGTTCGCGTGGTGATAAATTTTGTGAATTTTTACTCTTTGCAAAATTTGCAAAAATTCCCCTCATGCAAACTTTACAGTTCACTTCCAAATTATGCTAAATATTTAAAATTGATATCCTGGACTCAACTAACATGTATCTTTAATTTTATTATCATTTATTTTCAACGATCTTGCTTTGACCCAAAGTAGACGGAACTTTGCCCGATAATTGAAAAAATACCTTTTACCTCACTTTTTTCACTGCCAATTAATTGTAAAAAGAATTTTTCTTTTCATACAAGGTGCATGTGTATTTAATGTAATAAGAATTTTACACATGCGCTGTTGCTTAACATACAAGGTGCATGTGCATGTCGGCGTAAGAAATTCAGGAACGTGTTCCTAATCCGTTAAAATGAAATTTCAATTTTTCAGATGAAAACAGTCATTTAATGTTTTTTAAGGGCAATTGCTCCGAATAATGCATTTCTTCGAACATCCAATACGTTTCCTTAAATGTTTTACACTTTAGTTTTGCTTACACTTACATAAAGTCACATCCTTGATTTGAGAATTAAAATATGTGCTATCTAAAGATAACGCACTTATGAATTATTGCAGTTGTTGGCTCTCAATGGAAAGTGGCTCTCTTTTTCTCTTTATTGTTCCAGTTTGTCTGATTGCTGTGGTAAGGATTCTTACAAATGAAATTAACTTCAAAATAATCATAAATCAACCACTAGATACAAGCAAATTGATCTCGAGTAAATTTGTAATCAAATATTTATTGTAGATAAACATTATTATAATGGTGTCCCTGATTCGAGTGTTGTGCGCTTCCAGTGCCATGACGAAATCTTCACTTCAGAAAAAAGCCGCGTACGTATACAACTACATTTGATTTACACGTACATATGTACTTGTTTAAGCATTTTAAAAGAAAAAAAATCTTTAAAAATATTTTTTTATAAGACAGCATGTGAATTTATGAACAGGCATATTTATTTTTCTTTATGTTGATTTCTTTTTACAAATAAAAAAATAATCTTATTTATGCTTTATTATATAAACAGGTCGGGATTGCGGTCTCTCGGTACCCTTTTACCTGTATTAGGAGTTACCTGGATATTTGGAGTCTTGGCTGTAAACGAAAGCGCTGAAATATTTCAGTACATTTTCATTATAGCCAATTCCTTACAGGTTTGTTGTTTTAAATATAGATAGTATTACTTTGAAAAAAAAAAAAAAACTTTTCTGTGTAAAACAATACAGTTGAAAAGTTTCGTCTTATTCAACGTGATTATCAATCAGCAATATACTCGCAATTTGTTTAAAAAAAAAAACAGGTTTTTTTTTTTACCGAATTGAATACTAATTTTATCTATTGAAACAAAAAATATTGATATGGAATTATTTTACAGGGTTTCTGTATATTCATTTCACACGTGCTTTTAAACAAAAAGGTAAGAACAACATAATACTGTATTACAAACGTCCACTTAATAGTAATCTGAAAGATATACATGTAAAGCAAATTCAGATCTTGACTTGCAAGACAGAGTATGGTATCAATGAAAACAAATAAGTCTGAACACTAAATTTTGTTGACAATTTAGCTGATGCTGGGTATAAAGACAAAGTATCCATCTCTGAGCGGACTGAGTATGTTCACAGAATCCAGCAAAAAGGAAACATCTTCTGTATCAAGGTCACATTCATCAAGGTCAGAGGCTCCATTGGTGAAACCAAAGGTGAAATGCTCACTCATTTTCCTAGTTACTGTTTTTAGTACAAAAACCAAAAACGACTTCTTTTTTATTTTCAAGAAAAAAATAGTAATCTTAAATATACTGGTATTCTGATTTATTTTTCTAAAACTGCTTTATTGTTACAATGTTTTTTTATTACAGAAAAAGAGGATACTGCCAATATTTGGAATATTTTCGAGCAAAAAGACTGGGAAGAACAATAAAGTCATGAAATCCGATTCTTTTATGACGGATAAAACTGTGTCTACTGATTGTCCCTGTAGTGAAACTCAGGAAAATGTAAGATTTGTTCTGTTTGTCATTATGCATTAAATATAAACGAACTTGCACTAATCGTGTTAATAATGTTGACTTTTTCAGAGCATAACAATGACAGAAACCGGTCCAAAAGAAGAAGAAAGTGCGAAAATGATTTTCAAAGAAGTAAAAACGGTAATATTTCACTTTCTTTTTAGAATAAAATATTATATACATCTTAAATCAAGACATGTCTATCAGATTCCTTTTTGAAATTTCTCAAAGTTTCAATGCAACAAAATGTAAAATTACACGTAATTGTCGGGACATTCCATTCAAAAATTAGAGGGGATATTTTTTAAAATGGATTTGGAACAAATGTTACGAGATTGGAATCTTTTCTTTTTGACATGCCATCATTTTAATTTTCTTTGATATATTAATTATCTTGAATTTCGTAAGATATCCCTGTTGGTCTAGTAAAAATAAACTGTTTAGCTTTCCTTTTAAGGTTTGCTTTCGTAAAGTCTTCTTTTTATATAGGAAAACTTGATTTACTAATTGTTGATAATTTTTGTTAACAATTTTTAACAAGGTACAATATGAATCTACGTGTATATCCTCCACCAATTAGGTTAAGGAACGCCCGAGTAGCCACATAAGTATTTAGATATTTTAAATAATTTGTAAAATGCCAATTTAATGTATTCAAATTCAAGGGAACAAAACATTCACATGCAGAAATATTTGAGATCGACTAATTTTTTCATGAATAAAGAGTTACAAACTGCATCTTTTTTCTCTCCCAGAAGTTTTAATGGAAATAGAGGATATTCAATGTTTTACAGTGGGATTTGGACTTTTTTCAAAAGTGGGACAGGATTTTGTTTTAATATTTTCACAATTCGAAGTATTTTCTTTCATTTTTCCTTTACCTTTGTCCTTTTGTAATACGAGGTATGTATGGGGTTGTTGTTGCAAAGATAATCTTTTACTTATGAATATGTTCATGAAAGGCTCCCCCCGTTTTTTGTTGTAGCGTACGTAAGTTCTGGTAATTTGGTAATGTATTTATAAAAAAATGTTGTGAGAGAGAGTCTGAAGTTTTACCGCATTTCTGATATTCTTTCACCTTGTGACAAAACATCACTTTTATTCAATAAATAAGTTACAGTATTTAACTGTTTAATAAAAATATTGTTCATTGGATATCATGAATAATATTTTTTCGAAGAATAGGTACATTTATATTATGATGAAGAATTTCTCTAAGCTGCCTGGTTAAAAAAAAAATATTCATTAAATTTGTGTTCTTATTTTTGTTTTTTTAAATGGTTATACAAAATGAGTTTTCTTATGCAAAAATGTTTTTGTGAGGTCAGATGACACGTTCCTCAATAATATATATTTTTTTCCCAAGAATTGTGATTAAAGTATTGTTACTTTAACAAGTTTCCTCACAAAAAAATAAGGTACCTTGCTAGTCATTTGTCTAAGATATCAGAGGATGTTATTTACGATAAAATCCTTTTGAAAATCGATAGCATTGCCAATATCACAATTTCTTGATGTCTTTAAAACATATATTTAAGTAATGTGTTAGACCTTAAATTTCATAACACTCCCCCCCCCCCCCCCTCGGTCGTTGATACAAATGTCACAAGATTCTTTATATTTCTTATAGTATAAAATAGACTTGGAGGAGTTAAACAAGAAACTTATCATTATATTATGTTACTATTTGTGCTAACATTTCGTATGTATCGGGGGCTTGCTTCCCAAAACTTTTGACAAGTTTTACTAAACAATAGAAAAACAATAGTATTTTAAGGTTGTGACCCTAAATTATAAACTTTGATTAAAATTCTTCTGGCTTGTCAATGCATTTTCGGTTGTGTCTCCATCGCAAATATGCTTCAAGGTGCCTGACCTCCCTATGGAAGTTTGATATCTTAAATTTTCAAATTGATGGTATTTTTCTACATCTTTTAAAAATGGAATTGGCAACTCTGGATAACTTGCATTGTTTTTATTGTAATTAGACTCTTTTATTTTAGAGATTTTTTGTACTCATACACAATTCTGGAATTCAATTGCCTTAAAAATAAATCAAGAAATTCATGTGTAAATAAATACACCTGTAAATATTTTCACTTGACAGAATTTGTAATTTATTCCACATGTACGTATGAATTACACTTTTCATTTACAGAAATATTCTTGCATACTATTATCTGAATTGATTATAGTTTTATATTTCAGACATTTTTATAATTATCTGCCCTTGTTGAAAATGAAAAAAAAAATGTATCAGATTGTTCTGCATGGTGACCTATACTATTCTTCATAGAAGTTTGCGGAATATCGAATGCATGTCTTACCCGTAATTTTTGACGAAATTTGCTTTTCGTTTCACTTATCAGCGAAGTTCATCTTACTCCCATTGTTGTTCTTTAAGATTGAATGAACCATATTTCGGTAGAATATTGTTATTTTGAAAAAAAAAACAAAACATTTTTGTAAATCAGTTTCTATCAAATAGTCTTTAAAAATGATATATTGGCCTGAATTATCCGAAACAGAAATTTGCTGTATTTAAATTGGTGTATTGTATCGTCATTTTGAGTGAATAGCAAAATTATTCAGAACTGACCACATACGAATAAGAGGCCGTTACTACCTACAACTGGAACGTTGTATTGTGCAGTACTTCATGAACATATTTAAGAAATATTAATATCTTTTTAAGTATTTTGTTTAAATTTGAACTGCAATTTCTGTTATGATAAGTACTGACATAATGTAAAATTCTTCCTTATGTAACCGAAATAGTTTTAATTTAATTTTATTTTTACTTTATTTAGTGAAGACGCATGTGATCAAATTTATTAAAATGTTTTAAATGATAGAGAAATCTATCATTAAGAGATGTTGTTCTTGGTTTGACCTTTCAATATACATGTATGTCAATATTTTCATGTATTTGATATAGGAATCTTTCACATTTTATTATTAGCCACATGATGTTGAAGCATTATTACTAAGTGGCTGATGTACGATTTGTATTCTGTGCAATAATTGAACTCCATATAAATTATTTTTGCAGGAAAGAAAAAGACCACGTGTACGTTTCCATTTTAACTTGAAGAAGAAAACTTACATTTTGTCCGAGATGTAGACTACAGCTATTGATTTATCTTTAGATATAATGTATGCGTAAACATTTTTTCATGAGATAATTATGTCCATCTTTGTCATTAAAGTACCGGATGAAAATGAGGACCACAATGTCCATATGTATGATATCCCCCTTTTTACTGTGTTAATAGATTGCAGATGGAAAATGTTATTAAAATTGATTCAAGTCAAATGTAGAATTGAAGAGAAAGAAAAAGTTTAAAGCGACACCGAATCAAATTTAAAAGGATATGAAAGTGTACTCCTGTTAGAATTATTTTTCCTTTCTAGCTATTGACTGTTTCAGATTGTAATTTTTTTCCAATAAATCATGAATCAGGTCAGTAAACTGTGTATAAATATCCTTGGACTTTTCTGAAGCTCAAGTTGAAATACACACATATACTTATAAAATGCCTGAAAAAGATCAATCTATGGCTCCCATGATATAGATCAAAAGGAGGCTTTAATAGGGATGAGAAAATTTATATTTAAAGTGAACATAATTTTCAGAAACACGGGACTACAAGTTTTAACATTTTTAAAGTGCAAAATCATGGGAGGAAGCAAAATTCATATACTAAGTTGAAAAAGAATTAAATGTATAGGGTAGGCATTTGAAACTATACAATACAATGATAGTCAAGTACAAAAACATGCAATATGTAACTGAAATTTGTCAAAAAACAAACAAACAAACAAACAAGCAAAAAAAAAAAAAAAAAAAAAAAAAAAAAAAAAGAACAAAAAAAAAAAAAAAAAAAAAAAAACAAAAAAAAAAAAAAAAAAAACAAAACAAAACATGATGTGTCGAGGAATATTTAACAGGTAGCATAGCATGGTATTTATTGTCTTTAGTAAATTGTGGTCCAAATCATTGTAAGTCACATTGGCGTGTGTTCACTTCCCATGTTCCCATGTAGCTCGTTTTAAATTTTTCTTGTTCATGGAAAAAAGCAGATGGTAGATTAATGCAAAACAAATTCTATTCAATCTGTAAGATTTCCCTCAGGTCTTTGATGATGTTAGAAATGGAATTCAAAATCGAACTACAAAATTGGTCCATTTCCTACAATAATTGCTTAAAAGTAGACAAGTCTACATCGATACACTCTTTTTCTCCTGTTTGCTCGAAAAAGTGTAGATTTCGACTGATTAAAATAGTCCTCCATTGTAGCATTGTGAACCAATGTCTGGGAAACCAATCCAGTCGTACATCTCTTAGATGCATTCACAGCAATCGTTTATACATGTATGTGCTGTACTTTATAAGGCCGGAGTCACATGCTTTTGGTTCCGAATAATTTAGCGTTCAATCTCAATAATGTTACAGAAATCAAGAGAGTTCAATTGAACTTGTTTACTACTCGTAGTCTTCCCCCTGTCAAAACTACTCTCTTCGTGTATACTGCATTTGTAAAAAATGCTAGTAAATACTAGAGAACAATACCTAACCGAAAGTGGTGAAACATTAATCTATGAAAATTATACTTAGAATACATATAATTATCTGATTCTTCAAGTATGAAATAGAAGTTGCTATCTTTAAATTAGTGTATTGCATCGTCTCTTTGAGTAGACAAAAGAAAAAAGGAAAAAAAGAGAGAACTGACCACATATGATCATGTACGAACAGAAAAAAATACTACTTGATTTTATTCTACAATGCAGCAGTTACAACCTACAACTGGAATGTTGTCTTTGAAGTAATAAATATATACAAAAAAGTATTTGTATGATGTTGTTTTTTGCTGATAAAATTTGAACTGCAATTTCTTCAAATGTAATGATAGTATTGACATAGAGAAATGCTGAAAAAGTAATGTAAAAATTATCCTTATCACATGGAAATAGTTTTGACATAATTTTAATTTTACCTTTCCTTGTATGTGGTCAAATTAATTACATATACATAGTTTAACATGGAGCAGTATTATTAAGTGACGCTGTAATTGCTATGATCTTTCAGTAAATTTGATATATAAATTTTTCATATTCTATTCATTAGCCACATACTTGTTTGAAGTATTATTATTTAGTAACTGATGTACGATTTGTCTTCAATACGATATCTTACTTCACTTCTTTTTTGCTTAAATTAATGTCAATCTTTATCATTATGATAGTACCATCATTACCATGAACAGTATATAATATTTGTTTTTATTGTGACCGAGAGCTATAAAGATGGAAATGAAGATGGTTTTTATATTTATTCACATATCAACAAGGTAATTCTACAAAAAAATATTTAAGTAAATATATACAATTTATACATAGTAATGCATTACATATGATAAGTAAATACATATTAAACTTTATTGCTCATAATCTTAGTCGCTTATTTACTAAGAAAAATTGTAAACCAAAGTTATTGACAATTAACATTGAATAAAATACCTTGTGCGAGGTGGTAAAGTCTACAGTCAGGAATCGCCGGATCTGCAATAATTTGAATTTTAGATTTGGTTCGCTTTTATCACAAAAGAAACGATCTGATTTGATATTTCATTATGACAATAGCCAATGAGAAGTCATAGCCAATAGTAAAGCAAAAAAAGTCTTCACCAACTCAATCCACCTGCGCACACAAACTAGCTTAACTTTTATTCTCAGTGACATAGTTAATTTATTTGAAATAGAAACATTTATTCAAAATGAGAAATTGTAATAAATATATTTCATATGTATAAATCTGCCCACATTATTGTCATAGGAATGCCGATGATACAAGTCGAATCTAGAAATGTTCGTTTTGAAAAAAGAAAGCTTAAAGCGACACTGAATCAAATTATATACGGTATGCTTTCACAGGTACTCTTGTTAGGAATCATTTTTATTTACTAGACTGTATAAGTTTGCCTAAAGCTGTTCGTGTCAATAAATCATGATGTTCACGTCAATAAACTGTGAATAAATATTTTTGGATTTTTCCTTTCGTCAATTAAGAATGCAAACATACACTGTATTAATATAATACACACAAAGACCAATATATATATATATATATATATATATATATATATATATATATATATATATATATATATATATATATATATATATATATATATATATATATATATATATATATATATATTATATATATATATAAATATAAAGAATAACTGTCTAATTTTTTGGATTCATGATGTGATCAATCGCGTGGCTTGCGTGATAATTTGCATAAACGCCGAAGGCGTTTATGCATAAAATTATCACGCAAGCCAATCGATTGATCATCGTCATGAATCCAAAAAATCTGACAGTTATTCCTTATATTTACATGCTCCTGATTCTGCCAATTCCCGTGCTAATAGCCCCGCTTCTGTCTCTATTTGTCCCGCCCACACGTGATTTTTTTTAACCGTGCCTATCGATGAACCAGTAGATTTATGTAGAAATAAAGGAAATATATATATATATATATATATATATATATATATATATATATATATATATATATATATATATATATATATATATATATATATATATATATATATATATATATATATATATATATACATGTATATATATATATATAAGGGAGGGATGGCAATTTATAACCGGTTAACCAATTACTCGATCGGAACGATTGTAATAGGTTAGAAAATCTGTAATCGGCAAGTCGACATAACTTAAAAAAAATATGTTAATTTGACCTCAATTTTCTTAAAATTCATTTTTAAAAAAAGAAACTCTACGTTGATAATTTTCATTAAATCTGATTTGGAGGTAATTATGGCTCTTCGGATTGAGATTGCGGGTTAAGCGTTAATTACTGTTTAAACAATATGTCGTTACCCCGAATGTCCTGTAATTTTTAATGATATTACGTAAATCACAGTTGAACATTGGGAATTGATGTCTATCTTTCGCAGTTATCTATCAGATTATATTTTTTTTCACAAACATTGTAAATTGAGGGTAAACACATATGGATATATAATGAAAATATTTAAGAACTTTGGTGTTACTGCGCACAGGTAGGTATCTGGTTGTATGTATGTACCTGTGTTTCTGTGCATAAGCAGTAAGTACTTTGATGTAATTAGACGCAAGCACATATTGGCATATATGAAAGTAGGTAAGAACTTTGATGTAATTGTGCGTAAGCACAGGTAAGTACATGTATATCGTGGTATGTCAGAACTTGTGTTTCTGTGCTTAAGCAGTACATGTACGTAAGTACTTGATGTGCATGTACATGTAATTGTGCGTAAGCACATATGGGTATAACAAAAGTACGTAAGTATTTGGCCTAACTGTGCATAAACACAGGTAGGTAAATGGTTGTACGTAAGTACTGGTGTTCCTGTGCGTAGCACATCTATGTATATCGTAGTACGTAAGTACTTGATGTAAATGTGCATAAGCACATGTATGAATTCTCCAGAAAGTATACAGTACTTTGCTGTTATGTGTTTAAGAACATTTAGGTATTGTGGTATATAAGTACTTGTTGCTGTGCGTAAGCATAGTAGGTTTATACTTCTATGGTATGTAAGTAACATGGATAATTTTTAAACAGAACATATCTCACTCAACTTTGCTAAGCTACATTACACAAGTCAACTTATATGTGTGCAATGCCAATATATATGGACTGTACACTAAATAATAAGAACACATTAGATTTTCTGAAAAAGTGAATAATACAAAACAGAATAAAAATATTTACATTACATTTCTCTCTCTCTCTCTCTCTCTATTCTACGTAACACATCAATCACATTTAAGATTTCTTATCCCTACTTACTACTAAGAGAATGCTGTAACAGATTTCAGTAAACTTCCAAAATCTGCGTTTATAGTGTATTCTAGAACATTTTTTCGTATTTAATTTTTATGAACAATAAATCCAGGTAAACACTAACAAAACGTCAAAGATACTCAAGCTGTAGGAAGTACAACAAAAATATCATAAATATTCTTAACTGACATAAGATGTAGCCTATTGAGATTCAACAACTGTTGTTGAATTGGATACATGTAGTAAAAATATAATATACAACGGCTTTATCATGCAGTTTTCACTTGCCTTTAAATAAAAAAAAATAACTATTATTTTTTGATTTTTATTTTTCTATATAGAACTAAGAATTTATTAATCATTTGTTTATTTAAATGCTATTTTAAAAGTGAATAGTATGCGTTATTCAATTTAACATTCTCAACTCATTTTCAGGAATATCTGATGAAGCATATATAGTGGCGGTAGTTTCTGTCGAAACTGCCTGTTTTATGCAAACTGAATTTTAGAAATATGTGTCCATATAAACATAATACTGAATGCAAGAAATGCCCGCCCA